GTACTACATTTTAATCATTTTTACTAATTATATGGATATTTAAATTATTTTTATATCATATGAATATTTATAGTTATTTCTCACTGCTAAATGTTATTTTTTATCATACTTTTTGAAGTATTTAGAATTTTAAAAATGTTGTTTAATTCAAATGGTGTTAAGTTTTAAGTATTTATATATAATGACATAATTACATAACATTTCTATCTCTTAAATCAGTTTTTTAAAGTTTCAATAACTTTAAAGCACAGACGAGATACAGAACTGTTATATTTTGTCTCTGGCCATATGTATTTAGTTTCCATTTCAACTATTATCAATTAGTGTTGCAATCTTATTCTACACTAATCAATCACAAAATCCCCTGGACATGTAATGTAAAAATGTATTAACTAAGGTTTGTTCTGTACATCAGTTGCTTTTAGGAATATATTCCAACAGAGTTGTCTAAAAGGCAAGTAAACGGTTTTAGAAACAGTGCATATCGAACAATTACATTTATTTTCTTGGTCCAGCTATGCAATTGCACTGAGTAAGGCTATACTCATGCTTTGTTCATCAGCTTTCAATTTTTATGATATAATTACACATATAATTTTATATAGTACATCGACACATGTACATTCGTTTTCCATTGGCTTTCTGACAATGTTATACATTTATTTGGCATTCTCAAAAGGTTTATTATACAGGGACATCTTTTTCTATCTCCATTTAAACCTACATATTCCTTTTATAGTATCTGTATTAAACATTTATTTTCCTTTTTGGTCTGTTGATTTTTCATATAAAGTTGTTCTGTAAATTCTGTCCACCTCATACTTTGGAAAACTAATTTTGTATGATAAATGTAATTTTAACTTTAATAATTGTGACAAATTTTAATAAATATATATTAGAGTACAGTTAAATTATAGTAAATGAGATATTTGTAATTGCATTAAATTAAATTGTAGTATGATAATTGCAATAATTTTATGTACTTTTGAAAACTTTTATCATGCAAAGTGATACAAAAGGGGGATCTGAATACTTTAGCTGTACTCATCTATATTCGAGAGAAAATATGAAATTATAGTCTCTTTGATTCCTTGTAAATTCTGAAAAATAATTTGCTTTTAAGTTGGAAAAATGAAAATTTTTATAAATTTTGAAGAATTGAAGTATGAAATGGTTCTTTCATTTAAAAAACAACTCATTACAAAATTTCGTCTTCTAATGGTCAATATATAATTAAACATTATTTATTTGGTGTATTAACACTGATTTTAATTTTCAAGTAGACATTTTATCAGTTTTCACATCCAATATTATATAGAACGATATCACACACAGATTTTTTATAAATTCATGTTGACTGTGAGTTATTAGTTAGCAATTATATTGTTAAGTAAGATAAAAGTACTAACATACATCAATTACAACGTATTTTGTTTCATTATATAACACTATTTAGGAAACAGAGACGCACACTTTTCAATATTTGATACACCAGACTGTTTATAGTGATTATACAAATCTCACACATAGGTAAACAGCAAAACTCTCAATAGTACGTTCTTAATTAACAATTGTTGCAGAAAAATGTTCTTCATTAAAATCTTAAAGAACTTTAAATTGAACTGTACTTCAGCTTCAGCAGCAAATGAGATCATTATGCTTATATTCCTATCTCTTCTCTGTAAAGATTGAATTTCAACTTATAGATTTCTGAAAGGTTCCTATTCCCTTTTTCTATGGCAAATGTTTATACTGATATATGACATTACTATGTAGACAAGAAAATGTCTGCGATGTTACATATTTAATTGTCATTTGTCATTCATTTCTGTAATAAACGTGTACATTCGATGTTCGTGTCCTTAGTGACGCATATTGAATTTACAATTTAAAAGATTGTTTTATATCACTCTTGAAAAATGGAGTATCATAGGTTTCTTCCATTGTTGTCTTAATTACAATTTCTTTATCAAATTACAGCACTAAAAAACGACTTAATTGACTGACTATATGTTTATAAATAGCAGACTTGGTAATACCTACAAATTAACCCTGTGTTCCTGGTTTTTGTTTTTATTTTGTAGGCAAACTTGAATATTCTCCATCGTTTTACATTTCGTAAATCCATTTTCATTATTAATTACAATATAATTTTGGATTCATGAAAAAATGCGTCTATATGAGTTTTTGTTTACAGCGTGTTAACAATATTATTAGATTATTCCATAAATTTTGTCGCTTATACCATGTTTATTAGTTTCTATGTTTAGACCAATGATAGTAACAAACTTTGCTGCTTACTTTGTTGACAAAATTAAACGATCTTAATTAATAATTAAAAAGTTATGTTCTTCAAAATTTTTTCTATTTAATGAACGATAACACAACACAAACGAATAATAAATATTAATATTATTTTATTTTAACAACAGCAATAATTCACAGAACGCAATTTTATAAAATATACCTTTCGATCTATGCAATAAATATCGCGAAAGTGGTATTTTAAAAAATTAATTGACATTTTTGCAATTACATTTTATCAGCTGTACAGTTGTACAAAGTGAATATATTAATTTTTCAATATACTGTGTGTTAAAGAACACAGTAATATAAGATAAAAAATAAATAAACGAAAAAAAAATTTGCTTTATCAATTACTTTTTTGACTATTCATTTTTTAAATGTTCCATACTAATAGAAGATAATATATTTTATTTTTACATTATTAATTTTTATCTACATAGTAACTAATTACACCAAATTATGTCCTCCTCCAAACTATTCAATTCTTTTCTGAAACATTTTTCATAGAGCAGGTAGTTTAGGAGTAATTCGAATTTATAAGATTAACATTGGACACCCTGTATATGCACAGTTAAGTAAAGTAATTTTAGAAACATATGGAATGGAACAAAAAATCAATCCATTGTGTGTATGTGTGTGTATGCACATATAATTTAATTATTATTCATGTAAATCACTGAATAAATGCTGGACTACATATACACAGAAAGAATAGTAATGGTGTTCAACTAAATCGACAAAATTTATGGGATAATTCGGCACACTCTTCATAGTCCTAAGTAATAGCGACTAATGATTAACATGCCTATGTTTATTTCATAAGAATTTAGGACACTTTCGCAAGAAAAACAAACGAACATTTAACGAAATTTAACGATATAATTAATTCATTATATATTCGGGCTGATTTCTATGTACAATTATAGAGAGCGATCTGCTACGAATCAAAATATCTGTACAATGACAACAACAACAGTAACAATAACAACAATAATGCGGCAACATAGATCGCTTCGAAAAGAAAAGAGACAGAAAAAACAATCTTGTTGAATTCTTACGAATGTAATATTATCTTAAACGATTGTAATACTAAAGAATAATTAACATACCATGTATACATACATACATATATCTTTCTTTTTACATATTTAAACGATATAAATTCTCTAATTCTCTAGGAAAGATATCGGTTTTCTCTTTTTTTTTTTCCTTTAATTCTGGCGCATTTCGTTTGGTCGTGCAATGCCTGCTACGTAATATTCGTGGAAAGAAATCATTCTTTCACAACAGCCTTTCCGGTATAATGCTACCGATTACGAACGCATAATGTATCAACATTAAATATTTAACTATACCTAATTATCTTTTTATATATAAATACGACTTTTTTTTTATATATAAAGACAAAAACGAGATGAAATCTACGGTAAAAATAGTTTTACGAAATCGGATAAGCCTAAGAGAAATACGAAGTTGAATATCGCCGATGGATGGTCCGAATATCACAAATTAATTTTCCCCTCTCGATTCGTTCTTTTTACTTCAATAACCTACCACCCTCTTTGCCTTTTTCTTTCGATCGTTACGAATGAGACGTTCATTTTAACGTTTGTTCCTCTGTGTAGCGATTAGAGGAAAATTCGATAGAATATTTTAGCAAGAAGTAATTTGAAATTTCTATCATTACACTACATATGACTTTGACTTGTAAATATCTTATAACGAAGAAATAAGTAACATTATTTTATAGATACTTTTAGAATTTTTTTTGCTAAACCTAGTAAAATATATCACACACATAAATGCTCAATTGCAGAAATTATATTTAGAAATCTAAATTACAGAAAGAAATTGTGGAAAAATTGTATTACATAGTGATAAATGTGCTACTAACAATGTCAAGTTTTTTTAGAGTTTTCGAGGCATTTTTGTTCAAGACATTTTGAAGAATGTATAACAATAGCTTTATGAGTTCAGTCAGTTCTGAGTTTTGTAATAGAATTGAAAAATTATCGACTACCTTTTCTTCTTTTCTTGTATCTTTCATTCACCCCTTTCACTGATATGTATACTGTTAAAATTGTATAGGTCAAACAGCTAATCCGTGATCGAAATGGAATGTACCATGCACTTTATAAATAACCATAAAAGTATCATAGTCGCGACATGCTTCGAACTACTGATAAAGCAGATTTCATCTTAAAACATCAAACAAAGCACTATGCTCTGCCCAAAGCTTGAAGTAAAAAAAGATTTATCTTTACCCTGTAACGATACTTTAAACTTCACAATAATGAAATTTATTTGTTGTGTGGCGAACATAACTTAAGCAAGAAATATTAAAGTGACGATCAAAAGAGGCAGGCAAGCAGATGGTAATAGACATTTTTCATTTTCTTTGTGAAACTGTCAGACATTGAGAGGACTAAGCGAAAGTTTAAAACGAAATACGATCGTCGTTATGGTCCAAGTATCACAAGTCAGTTTCTTCCATTCGGTTATCATTATCCTTCTAATGAGGTAACACTGACATCTCGTACTTTATATAATCTCTCGCGGTTATCTATCGTTCTCAGTGATGTTTATCGCCCACAGATACAGTAGTTTTGTTTCTATAACTTAGACTTGCTTATGAATACAGGCTTCTTCAAAATTTCGTGTAGTTCACGTCGATTCCAATACACCGCCGGCAAGTTTGGTCGCATACAAATTTAATGCCTGAAAAATAAAAAATGTTATCTACTTTTGCCTTCAATTTGCGAAAAATCTACATATATTCTGCTAGACATTTATTATATCACATTATACAGAGTGGACTTGAATATAGTCACCTAAATATTGCCGGTATTTATTGGTGTACGAAAAAACTGGTTCGAAAAGGTGAAAAAAATCTCATCCAGGTGATTCTTTTAGAGAATTCAAGGTAATCGGTGGTTTTTTTAAATTACATTTTTTTTTATATCCTTTCAGAACATAAAGATACAAAATTCAACGACCTTAAAAACCATACCATTCTGATCATTCAATCCCGAGATATTTTCATCTGAAAATTAACCTATAATAAAAGCTGAAACTGATGGCTATTGGCTTTAAAACATAATTGAAGTCCAAAAATCATTCAGTTTAATAATACTATTTCTTCCGTTCTACACTCTACAATCTTAATCAAAATAAATAACACGTGGTGATGTTTACATTTGAAAAATTGATATGTATTCAGTAACTGCAAGAAATACTTATTACCATCAGATGAAAATGTACCATAGCATTGAAGAAGAGGATACGAAAAAAAATATACCACACCATTTAAAGAAACAGCGATGACCTTGAAGAAATTTTTCTTCTCATCTCTTTGAACAGTTTAACTTTGCCCTGAACAGTTTTTTCATATACCCATAAATAAAGGAAATATTTAGGTGATCCACCCTGTATGTCTTATGATAATAAGAATCCTAGAAACCTTACAGAATGTGTGTTTGTTATATGATACAGGTTGTCAAAGATTATAGAATATTTCATATTCAAAGAAATTTTAAGTTTATATCCGATTAGAATAAATTCTTCAAGAAATAATTTTTACAGACAATTCAATATTTATCCACGTACATACCTACATATGTTCAACTGAATGAATAATATAAGTGCAAGTTTTTTGATAAAAAAAATTGCTTTACAATACAACCACTGTCTTCTTTTGAATCACACAAAGTCATACAAACCCATCATTTGTACTTCCACCATTCAACTTGTTTACTAATGAAAAATAGTACAGTAGACTCCCGTGCGAATTCCTATAACGCGCAAAAGATTTTACAACTACTGTTTTCATATAACGCGATTCCTCGTACAGCGCGCCAAATAATAAAACGCAAGAATTACCTGATTTAAGAATCAAATCTGCTTTAGTTGAGCATTAGATTGTTTTTTATTTTGTATAATTGCATTTTTATTAAATTTCAATGAAATAAACGATTTTTTACATACATTAATAATATGTTTTTTTAAATCAACTTCGTATAAATGCCGTTTATTTTTAAAATACTGTCCTATTTGATAAAACGTAGAAAATAAAAGTTGGCATAGCAATAATCGTTTCAAACATGTTACTTTAGATTATGCGCGTTATACAAGAAAAATTCTCATACAGTGCGAATTCCTATACGGGAGTCTACTGTAATACAATTTCCAAGTCCTTAATAAGAAAGAAAAAACAAAAAAAAAGAAAAAACGAAAAGAAGCTCGAATGCAAATTACCTTGTAAATGAAAGCGTATTGTTCTTTTGTCTGAACAGCCCCAGCACGATCCCGTCTAATAGTATAAACGACTCTTGGCACGTCCACAGTCCTCGTAATCTCATATTGTCTAATTCCTAAGTCAAGTGCTATTAGTGTTCCCGTGCGTCCAGTGCCGGGACTACAATGCACCACAATGGGCCCAGGACCACCCCTTTGAAGTGCCCTCGCCTCGAGAAGCACGGCTATCAAACCAGCTCCGTCCGATTGCACGCCGTTCACCGGCCACAAATACCAAATATGATACACTTCTCTGAACGTGTTGCTCTCCAAATTCTAAAAGAATAAAAAAACAAAGGTTTTCTCGTTAGCTTCCTGTTTGATAAAGTTCTATCGTGAGTGCGAAAGTTCTGTCGATTTTAAATAATAAAAACATTGTGGGACAACTTGTAAGGAGTCCAGGTATTAAGTTTAACCCTCGTCCAGGTGATACCGGGTCATTTTTGGATCCAAACAAGAGGGAAGACACAAGTATAAAAAACGACTGCGTGGGAAGTTCCAACGCCTCTATATAGCAGGCAGTATTCAAGAAGAGAAGATCTAACAAGTTGCGTCTGCATTTAGTCAATTTTATAACATGAACGAAATCATAGCGATGAATTATTATTGGACGGTGATAATACATTAGTCAGTAATAACGAACTTGAATTGCAAGATTTAACAAGATATAGCACAAAATGCGTAAACTGTTTAAAGCATTTATATGTATAAATAAGATGCAATAAAAGAAAATAATATTTTATGTAAGCAGTATATATAAGTAAGATAAATGGTATATTTATAGGATGTTTACATTTTCTTTTTAACGTACTCCTTTTCTGTTTCAATTGTAAGCATTATTAGATAATATTTTGTATCAAAAAGCTAGGTCCAAAGTATCTCTAATAAAAATTTTGGTATGGGTCAAAAGTGACCCGGTATCAGCTTGTCGCGTCGTTGTTTTCGATCAGTCGTTCAAAGCTTAAATACCACTTCAAGTGAAAGAAATTTTCTGAGTATGGTTGTACAATGAATGATCATGAAAATTTCTTCTACAGTTTAATGTCTAGTTGATTGAATTACAGCCAATAATTCGTTTTCGTCAATATCCAAAATGTCGTCCGACATGTCTCCAAAACGGAAACGAATAAACTATCATTTACAAATTCTTTCTCCGTACATTTGACAAATATTTTTGCAGGCTTGAACCGTATTGCTACATTTTACAAGTTCGTATAACATACACACATATGAACTTTCTTGACGGACAACTTTTCGTTAAGATTTTTGACATCAAATAAACAGGAATCGTTACTTTTTAACTGATTATTAAAGTAGGACATTTGAAGTTATTATTAAGTCATCCCATAAGTTCGTGCCGAATTTTATAATTTAGATCAAGATTTCCAACGAACCTTTAAATTTGATAAAAAAAAAAAAAGTAAACGCCTTTTCATTCCACAACTTTTTAAATTCTGATTTTTGGTAAGACCATTATGTCGTTGCTACAGTATTTCCTTGGATTTTCATTAAATTATTGGCACGAACTTATCTACTAAACATAATTCATTTACGAAAATAAAGCTGTTGGTAGGTAATGCAGAAACTGACAGAACTTTCGCGCTCATCTTGATTCTCTAATTCAGGGAGTCTTCAACCTTCCACAGCCTTTAGAACTCTTCTAGTTCATAACTTTGGTTATCTACACAAGTTCCACCTAAACATTCTTTTACATATTACGAAAAACTGGGACCAACTCCCCCTCGGAAAAAATGTAGTCGCAGACCATTCTTTGAGAAGCATCGAACAATGGTTTTAGGAAGGGATGATGGTCGGGGTGAATCTTCAGGGTGTGGAATAAGAGGTAACTCAGGGGAAATCTTCTCTTATATTTACTATATACAAAAATAAAAATAAAATTGTTTTGAATATTACATTAATTATAAAAAAAATAAAAATCTCTCGAGGTTTTGTTGAACCGCGGAGAAAAGCGCGTATGACGCGAAGTAACCCTTCAAAACCTTGTGCAGAACTCTGCTCTAATTGATCAATTGCGTGATAATGCCGTCTAAAACTCCTTTGGTATGCGGCGTATTTTAACGTGGGTTACGTGTAACTAAAGGACGAAGTCGGGAGGAAGCAACAAGAATATTTTTCCGTTATCCCTTACTTTTAAGTGAAGAGTAGAAATGGCATATTTTTCTTTGGTTTCCCTCTTTTTCAGAGTAACTTGGAAGTCACCGTATAACCGGTGGCAGTCGGTGATTTCCGATGGCGGAATATACTCGGTACATTTTTCCACTCCGTTTTCAACGAGATCGGTTAACATGATGACCACTTTGCACTGCTGTTCCCAGATCATTCTCCAAAAGTCAGTGACGGTCGACTCCATCGGTGCTTGACAAGCTATGTAGTATTTTGTGGCATTCTTTAGTCCCTAAAAAAACATCGTCGGTTTAGATAGATTTCATTGAACGTTGTTAAAACTGTGAAAATTAATAATTATTTTTTACACAATCATGTTGAGCATTTTAGTCTCGTTATCGAGAATAACGCACAAATAGAAATACAACGTTGATTAAGGTGAGAAATGTAAATATCGTAGGTTCAAGTTCAATGTTCGAGACCTCCTTTTCTCTGCAGATTTTTCGATTACTCGGATCTACATCTTCGTATGCAAAAAACATTTTTGTGCAATTATAAAGGGTTCGATGTAAAATTAGAAACGATGGTTGCAAGGGTCTGCAATAGGTCTAACAAGGGAACATATCAAACTCACATATGTACATCAATTTTGATGGAACTTATATCGGAGATATGTAGTTTGCAGAAAAATATTTCACACATTTTTTTTTTTATCGATAATCTTCCATAAGGGATGAAGAGGTTGATGGTCGAAAACATTTTCTGGAATATCTCGAGAATTACATGGTCTAGGAAAAAAACTTTTCTTTTTTAAATTGTGCGTTTTAGAATAGGGGATTCAATCACATAAAGAATTAAAAATCATTCGTTTAAATAATACATAAACTAATTATATTTTGTAATTCTTTTAGCTAAATGTTCATCGATTTTTTTTGTAAATTTGTGTGTGTGAACTATAAACCGAAATAGGGGTACGTGTTTTTAGAATTGTTTGTTTCATCTATGGGTGTGCAGTTTTTTCCCAGTTTATGCGAAACGAAGTATTCACAGGCACGTATTGTACGTAGAAGAGGAACATTCCTATTCCTTAAATTTTAAGTGAATGTAACATAAGGGTCGCTTGCCATTCCTAAGATTTTTCTGTTCCTCTAAAACGTTGATCATTGTTCACCCCTTAACCTATGAGTTTTTTCTGGCTATGCATCTAAGCGTCAGTCATTTAGTGTTTCAGTACTGTGTCAGGTAACAAAAGTTTATCTGTTATAGATTAATTAACATTTAGTAAATCTCGGTGTTACAAATTCAAACGAAAGTTAAGATTATAACGAATTTTTCTTATTAATATCACTATTTTTGTCATATCTCGACTAGAATTTCTGTCACGAGTCTGACTCGTTGTTATAGGTTAAAGGGTTAACCCTTTGCGGCCGAGTGTCAGCAAATAGCCGCCCAGGTCTTTTTACCGTGCACGCCCCGCTGCTATATCGTCATAGCACATCGACGGTGGTGGTGGGGCAGTGGGCGGTCTTAGGGGCTGGACCCCAACCGCGAGGAGGAGGCACGGTACATCGCGAGGCCCTTTACTCAGGTCGAGATGTCCCGTGCGTGGCTTTTAGTGGGGCGAGATCGCCGCGGGGAGGACCCTGTCCTCGTACCGTGGCGAATCTAGTCGGGATCGCAGATGTTGACGTCATTGCATGCGATCGAGGAGGACTACCCCTCGGCGCGGGGGAGGGGCCTTTGCCCTCCCGCGACTTGGAGTGGTGGATCCACAGACGGCCTGGATGAGAGTTTAGGTTCGTCATTGCACGTGGATTTGGCGGAGGTCGAGTCGGGATACGGCCCCCGATTCGGCCTGCACCTGTGAGCGCAGGTTGGGAGGTGGCGAGAGCCATTTAGCGCAGAGAGGCGACCCCGGTAGTGTTCGCTCAGCGAGATCCCGGGGTCCCCTCTAAGGCGTCCGAGGAGGGCCGTCATGGTAGTTTTAGTGGGTAAAAATCCCACACTACCGTCTCCTCCCCTCAGGGGAGGCGGCGTCTTTTGAAGATTTCCACCACGTTAAAAAAAAAAGGTCTTTTTACCGTTGCGGACACGTGTCGGCAAATAGCCACCCAAGTCTATTCACCAATTTCAGACAATTCCTCACTTTTACACCACCACCAGACACACCCCAAACACACCGAAAAAGCCATTACATATGTTTTCTTGGACTTTGACCAAAAATTTTCTTGAATTTAAATAAAGTTTTAGTTTTTATAACTCGTCCACAGCGACGCTCACTCTCCGGCTGGCTCCGTCCGCAAAGAGTTGATTCAAAACTGATTCTAAAAAAAGATCTGCTGTATTTCTCAAAGAATCGATTAAAATGGCAATCAAAATTAAACGATAGGTGGTAATAATTGCATTGTGCTCGGTTGATATAGGATATTGAACGATGTTATCGATCACCATGAGGAGACCGATGCTAACTGTACCTCTACGAACGTTGCCCTCGATATGCATTAAAGGCTACATACTCTGTAATTGCAACACGTGCAAAGTGTAAATAATGAAAATGGTGACAAAATATTAACACGAAGCAATTCTATAGACATGGGTTATAATAGAAGTATGAAGATGAAATTAAAGACAGAGACATTCACTGATAAATATTACATATGTACGTATAATCATTTTACATAAATAAAGAGATGTACTTTTTAAATCATTTTTGCCAGTTATATAAAAGGCTCAAAGATGCAAAACATTGCTTGCACGGTATTACGTGATAATGAAATGATAGTAAGAGGTTTAAGCTGCTCGCAGGTAGAAATTAATGAAACAAAAAGTGATTAAAGTCTACAATATTATGTAATAAAACGAAGTAGTGGGGAATAATGAGCACAAATCATAATAAAGGATTTGATCAATGACTATGAGTTTAACAGCAAGAGTTTAATAATAAAAAGTTTAGACTCGATCTATTTTTTTCTGGCAGCTCCACATGATGAAGTCGGTGGTATTGCAAGAATATTAAGAAAGAAGCGTATTGTAGAACTCTTTTTGTTTAAATGCATTTAAATGCTTGGAATTCTCAATCATTATTTTATCATTTAAAAATACACTTCACAAAAATCCAATAGTAAATCTTTCTGACAAAATAGACTACGTTCCATATTAATAGTATCTAGTTTTTCAATAATAATACTACAGGCTTTGAACCAAGAAAAATATAACACAAAGCTTCATTGTTCAACAATGAAATATGTGCCCACTGTTAATTGTAGAATTTATTTTACATAAAACTTATATTTGGAAAACTGTCGTTTCAAAATAAAATTAATTAAAATAAAGTTACGTATTTAAAATGATATAAAAAAAAAATATTATAAGTATGCGAAGTATAAATATAATAATCTCTTAGGTAAGAAGCTTTCAAGTACCATTTATAGTTAATCTATAAATAATATTTGATACTCGAAGAATCAGGGGAATTGCATTTTTTCGAATTTCGAGAAATGTTCGTAAGTTTCAGTTCCATGATCGACAATATCGAGTCACCATAATTGCTCCAAGTAAATGTTAATCGCTTTAAGGATCGAAGCAACGATCAAGCACCGTCTCTGCTATTGTATCGTTTAAATTTTCTAATAATTCGACGAGAACAGGTGTTAACATCCATCCTGTTTCCGCATATTGTTATGCTTCGGACTTATGTAATAGCAATTCGTATCGTTCGTAATACTTTATGCAACATCCTTTTCTCGCACAGACAAAACGCTGTTACACGCGTGCAGTTAGATCGCTCGAGATACACCGAAACGTTTTTGTGCATTTTTCAGATTGCACAAAGGATTTGTGTAAATTCTCGACATTCTCGACAGAGAAAATGAACGAAACGGGAACAGAGTATTCTTTCTATGAGTGTAAACATAAGCAGCTTAAAACATAAATGACAGATAAATCATAGAGTCCGTGACACTGGATTAAACGCAATAATATTTATTCTCGTCTCAATCTCGAATTAATAAATTCTATTTTTCGAAGGTAATAGGACTTTTTACGATGTGAACTCCTCTGTTATATCTGTTACTGAACAACAAATTGACAAAAGAACAGTCGTTTGTGTTTCCCCAAAACATGAATATTTTTTAACCAAAAGTCCGTTCAATTTAAGAGTAACCTCGCTCTCGGACCGATTTTCGTCCGTTCTGCGCAGTTCCCACTACTACCTACCAATGTGACGCATGCGATTGGTCGTAGCGCTATTTCGGCTAGGCCCAAGAGCGACGACAATGTAAACAGTGCATAGAGTGGAGAGAATCTACCCGGTGGTCTAAAAGTATGCGCACCTAATGTGTGCATGTTAATAGTTGTATGAATTTGGCCGGACAAAATAAAATTATCAATATTTAGGGAACGATTCAAAATCATTTAAATTCTTAAAAGACATATTATAAATTTCATTAGGTACAAAAAAAAAAAAGAAAAGAGAAAAAGAGTAAATAGAGAATTAATTATATCACCGCGTATGTGTATGAAAGCGTCACGCCTGGAACAGAAGACGGAGAGCGTAGCAGAGGGTAAGACGGAGAAAAACGTAGGCTGTTAAGTGGGGGTTTGGACGTTCTAGTGGTTCTAGCTCTGCCTTAGGCATGTCCCATGCGCGAAGCGAGGTTACTCTTAAATTGAACGGACTGTAAATAAGTGATTGCCGAAATATTACCTGTACGGTGACCATATTTTTTTGAAGAAAATAAAGGACAAATTAGAAATTATTTAGATAATGGTCATTGATAATTGTCACAGCGCAATACGATGAGTGATTTGATAATAGGTGAGTTTGATAAAGCTTTTAATATCTTTAGAACTTGAATAGTTTAAAAATGATGTGAAACCTTTTGTTTAAAGGATTTTAAGACAAAATAAAATATTTACACAGAATTAGCTAAATGAGAAGCATCTGCTTAACAACAAGTAGAGCCTTTCTCCTCCTCAAGTGTATAACATCCAAAAACGAGGAAGATTGCATAATCAATTATGAAATAAGATTTTACAAAAGCCAAATCTTACTTGTCAGTTAATCTTTGTACAATACATATTTTCTGGTATTCTTTACGGAAATAATAGTGTCTTATTTTTTCATTACTCCATACTAAAACAAATGTAAGTCGTTTACATGACAATTGTATAAAATGTATGTGCAGTCCATTTATAAAGAGCATCAAATATGTATTTCTCAAAAATACACAGAACTTTTGGATAAATTTTTTAGAAAATTAAAATAAGTCACCAGTAATTTTCGACATGAACTTGCAGGTATATAATAAAAATGAACGAATTAAACGTGACATCACTTACTCTAACGTAACTGGCGTTGATGTATTCCGTAAGAATATCGTTGTTAATTTTTTGAAGGGATACTCTCGTCTCCGGGAGCGGTATCACGTTCGCGTATCTGTTTTTTATTTCCGCGCCAGTGGGCAGCTCGTCTATCTTCGCCGAAATTTGCGGAATACCGGAGAATTCCTCGTCGATAGCGTTAACGTCGTTATAGAAAGATGAAAGTCCAGCAAAATTCAACGGGTGAGATGGTATGGCACTCTGTAATAATAACATATACTTCGTAGAAATACGAATTTCAGCGTTTTTTACCACAATGTTAACAAAAACTAAGCCTTCATTGGACGTTTGTCTATCCTTATTACTTCTATTTCAATTTTCTTCATCAGTTTTTCAGTTAGATTAATTCGACGAATCTAAATATTTCATCACTTAGTGCTTCTGAACCAGTGGCTCTTAATTCATGGAGGTATTATTTATAGAAGATAAAGTAGAAATTTACAACTGAATCGAGGTTAAAAGTTATCTACTGTGTTTGTATGTTCGCAAGAAATTATTCTATATTCTACAATATAAAGTATAAACAGAAAACTTTTACGTATATACATCGTTCAAAATAAGAGTAACCTCGCTCTCGGACCGATTCTCGTCCGTTCTGCGCATAGGCAGAGAGCGTAGCAGAGGGTACGGCGGAGAAAAACGTAGGCGGTTAAGTGGGGGTTTGTTTCTAGCCCTGCGCGAAGCGAGGTTACTCTTACTTTGAACGATGCTCTTGGTCTTTTGTAAATCCCTACTAAGAAACTGTTAAACTTTTTGAGGGAATTAAACTTAAATTTACAGTACAATTCAACTAAACATTAAATGTAAACAATACATAAAGATCAGAAAACTATTTTCTGGTATAATATATAGTGCAAATACACGTGTTACTTTTTTTTCTCTTACAAATGTGTAGTTTTTTAGTAACAAACGCTACATTAATGCTACATTATTACAACACTATTTTATAAAAATTCAGTAAGGACACTATACTGAGAGGCAATTTTGTATAAGTTACCTGACTAGTCAATTTCTGTTTACAAGAATGTGTTAATCGTATGCTATAAACAGAAGAACATATTTTGCTAGGATGTATTAGAAACCAAAATGTTTTTACACATATAGGTACAATATGCATATAAGGTGATACAAACAATAACTGATTTACTGTTAAATTAAAAGACACCATTGTTACTCTTTATGGAGAAAACGTTGTTTAATTGAGACGTTACCATTTAAAAATTTGAGACTCGCATTCTTTTGTAAAATCGTAACACGAACGTGAATCATAAAACCTACAGATAATTACAAAATAATTAATGAAACGTGGCAGACGTCCTTTTGTTTAATAGAGAAAAATTTATCAGATTTGAAATCTACTATTTTACAAACATATAATTATAACGTAAAGCATTCAATTAAAACTGAATATTTCTCTTCCTTTCCATTTCTTGTTAATTTTTGTGAACATATATTCTAATTGGCAATTCAAAGATTACTGACGTATTATAAAATAATTAACGGTACACAATTCGACAAAGCCAGTAAAGAAAGTAGGTGTACATGTATAAGAAAACGTACAATATTTTATGTAAGATCCACTTTTACCGAAAATATTAATTAGACGAAGCTGATTTGTCGTTATTGCTTAAGAAATTTTACACATAATTAGATGATATTTAATTATCCTGAATTTCATTTTGATAGATATACTTATGATCACGCATTCCAAAATGTTGAAAACAGCACTTTTGTAATGCTTTCTTATTTTGTTCTACTAGGTTGTAAAATTATTCCGCTAGTTTATCGATATTTATGTAATTTAACGTTAAAAATTGCAATTTAACAATCGAGCCCGAAACGTGTGCAGTCGAATGATCTTGTTGAAATGGAAATATGAAATTTTAAAAAGCTACTAAAACTTACCGAATCTTCGAAAGTCGGATTGCCGTAGCTTCTTTTCGAAGACCTCGCCACACCTTTGCGCCTGACGCTGTTGTAAGCAGAAACACTGTCGAGGCTGTAGGCATCCAAGGACACTGGACGGCATCGTTCGCCATAGTTGAACCGCGTTTGCCTCTTTCTCATTATAAACTGCAAATAATTTCAGACATAAGTAACGAGCTTCACTTTTCAAATGTCTCGTAAAGAAAAGAAAGTTTATTCGTTCTGCAAACGGATCATTTCTGAAGCGTTCGAGAAAAGAGAATTTCATTGAAAACGCGGAATACTGACGAAACGTTCATTTCCTTGGCACAATTTCAAGTGATTGACAGATAGAAACAGAAGCGATTGATTTGGTAATGCAACACGAGACAGTGCAATGAATAACGAGTGTTGAAGATAGAACTTGAATGGTAGAGTGCGTGACAAATAATCTTGAATGTTTGCACACAGAAACTTTGCTTTTCTTTTCATTCTAAAGAACCTAGGAACAAGAGCTTGCGAATCGAACACTGTTTCTTCCCTGGGGTAAGAAGCATGGATAATTGGTAATATTGATAATACGAAAAGTGCAACACACGTGTACAAGAACAGAAGAGATTAGAAAGACAACGCTAGCTGAGATAGTAGAGCGACATATCAGTGATGCAACGAACAGTAAACTAAGACCTTTCTTCCCAAAGATTTCAGTGCAGTTGACCTAGAAGAATGTCGTTAACCGCTTTGGACTATTTTCGTCGTTAAGTCTTTCGCGTTAATTTTCGTTATAAACACTTTTTCAGAAGCATCGACTGTTCTTACTTCGGGTAGCGTTTGGGAAAGGACGTTTTTCTGGGTATCCGTTTGCTGGAAGTGGCTAAGACGAGGCACGCAAAAATACAATACACGCTAATTGATATGCAATCGAGTTTTGCTTTTCGAAAGTGTCCCTGAAGGGAGATGGTTCATGGAAGTATCATAGTTAATTGTGCATATAATTACCTCACTTACCAGTCTGACAAGGGATCAACTATAGTCAACCTCAGTATTAAGTCGTCTCTTTTTCCTTTCTCTCGAGTATAAAATAGAAGCTTTTCGGTTACAGCGTATTATGCGAAAAGGAACGACTGCCGCCATACCGTAGTATAAATACTTATTCTTATCTGGTAGCACAATGCATTATCGTAAGGTTTCTAGCGAAAGAGGGGGCGCAATTGACCGAAATTTTAACAAGATTACATAAACAGTTCGGTGGAAAGTGTTTGTCACGGTCTCGTGTCTTTGAATGGTGCAAAGTGACGGTGAAAATGGGCCACACGTTCATCAACCGAGAACTTCGATCGATCGAAGGGGCGCTGTAAAGGGGAACGATTTTGTAAAAGACGAACGAGGAATTAGATTGCAAGAAATTGCTCGGATAACAACGTCCGGAATGGTGTAGATTTTCATAAAATTAACTCACTCTTGACTTCCTGAAATTAAGAAGAGGCAAGTGAATTTATTCATGTGAAGTCGCTAATCAACTGTTGGGTTCTTTAGAGTCCATAGTTATCACTAGACTGAGATTGTTCGTGCAATTGTAACATATCGAAATATGCAAAATACTTGAGTAACATTAGATACAATCTTACTCGTTATACTGTGGTACACTTAAGGGGGTATTCTAGTCTAGACTTTTCAAAAAAATCGATTTTTTTTACATTTTCTGAAAGTAGACATCTGCAGAAGTATAACTGTCGAAGGATTTTTCCGAATTCGCAAAATTGACGAAGTTATAGATGGTTAAAGAAGACGACATGTAGCCTGGTATGAGAAACTTTAAACGCGTTTTTCTCGAAACCATGTTTTTCTAAAAGGCTGACATGATATCTCAAATTTTAGTTGTCCGATTGACTCGAAATTTTACACGCACCTTCGGTGGATGTGCCGTTATCGTCTGAACCAGAATTATGCCAAAATATATATTTTTCTGATTTTTAGAGCCTCTGAAAGACGAAAAAAAATCGATTCACAAAATTCAAAGTGACGCCATTTTGTAAATTTTCACTATTTTCTTTTCATTCTGGTTCACACCATAGTCACAGTCGTACTAATCAAGAATCCTTTTGGTTTTTTCATTTCGGATAAACAGAGTGGGCGGAATCGTGTCAGCCAGTAGGACACTTTTTTTTTAAAGGGACCACACTGAATGATATATAATTCAGACAGTTTTGATTATTTTCACTTGAAAAAAATTGTGAACTTTCTTAAAACATGGATGAATATGTATGCAAAATGTCGATACTGAGAAACTTATACTTTCCTTACAAAAAAATCCCTAAGAAGGGCTAAAAAATGACACTCTAGACTAGAATACCCCCTTAAGAGATTCTAACGTTACTCTCGTGTATTTTGTAAAGTTTGACTAGTTGTAATATTAGGTTGGTCCAGAAGTTCGTGCGATTTAAATTCGTATTGAATGAAATTCATAACATTTGCCTATCGGTTATGTGATATATGTACGTGATTCGATAGCTTTTGTTTCTTTCTTGTATGGTATCGTGAATTTTTTGGCTCTATGAAAATAATAAAAAGCTTTTTGTTCGAAAACAGCACAAAAATAGTTTTCACGATTCCAGAAGGGCAGTTTTGCCATAAATGACGGGTGAAGTTCAACCACTTTACAGTGGGTGATCAAATTATTACGAACACTTGGAAATGATGTATCGCTTATATGAAGTTTGAACAAGCATGGAGTTGAAAATACACTTAAAATGAAACTTTTTTTTTTTATTACACAATAAATTTTTACGTTTCTAATACCATTTAAAGGGAATTCTAAAATTTCTAGGAATTATTGAAAATTTTCAAAAATATAGATATCAATATTTCGTTAAGCCATCATTCCCATTTATAATTGCTTGAATACGTCTCGGCGTACTTTCCATACTTTTTCTGCAGATTTCTTTTATCCCTGTGTCGTAATGCTTCTAAAATATCACTTGCTGTTTATTAGTTATCTCTGATGCAATTCCACGTTTTAATCATTCTCACAGGTTTTTTATTGCATTCATATCCGGTGAATTGCCAGGCCACGATAGAATTGAAACTTTCCTTTCAGGTAGGCAAGCTGTGAAAATATAGGGGAGAGTCGTGCAGTACCGGCCACTCTAAGTGTTTGTACTATAACTTGGGCTAATGTTGGTAAAAATGAAATTTCAAAGAAGTAATTTGTAGTACAAAGGGTGCTTGATAAAAGGGGACAAATCGTTTTTCTTAAATTTTCTCACAAAGATAAATAATTCGTAGAAATAAAAAAGTTGTAATTTGCAGCGAACGAAAAATTGTCGCACAGTACCGGCCAGCTACTTAGTTGGTAGATTTTAAGGTCTGAGTAATAAATGATGTTAGTAAAAATCATTTAAAAATAGAATAGAACTTTTATCTAGGCACGTCTAGAAATATCACAGGTAAAGTGATCGATATTTTCTTGATCCGTACACTCCACGCGAGCCCAACCATTGCAGCTATGAAAAATAACTTTTGTCGTACGGAGCACCAGCGTAAACGTTGAACGTCTTAGAACTCTGGTAATACTGAAGAAAAAAGAACGTCGCCGGAATACGTTGCTCAGGGCTATAGTATTCGTTTGTTTTTCCATCAACAGTGCTGTCAAGTGGCAGTATAAGCGAGATCTAGCTTTGGCCGGTACTGCACGACTCTCCCCTAGACAAATTGTCTATCTATGTCTTAAGAACAAAACCAAAGGATATATTTCGCTATTATTGAAAACATCTCGTTTATTGTTGAGATCTAGCTTTGGCCGGTACTGCACGACTCTCCCCTAGTCAAATTGTCTATCTATGTCTTAAGAACAAAACCAAAGGATATATTTCGCTATTATTGAAAACATCAAACATGATCGTAATAATTCGATCACTCACTGTAGTTCAATGAGGAGTACTTGGAAGCTCTGTTTTGTAATGACAATCAACTGGTGAGTTAGTCGAGAAGATGCACTGCTCTCATCAAACAGTGTTCTTCCGCCATTTAAAGACAATGGGAAAAGTACAAAAACTTGGTTCATGGATTTCACATAATCTGTGGCAAGAGAACAAAAACCAGGAAGAGCCGCACGAACTTATGGACCAACCTAATAAGGACTAAGATTGAGTATAACTCGTACTTTGAAGTTGCGAAATTCTTCAAGTAAATGACAGCTGTCTTTCCCGTTGATTCGCGGTATTTTCTTCTATTAGAAACGAATAATATGTTCACAGATCATGTCAGGAACTATGTTTCAATTATCGAAACACGTCTCGACAAATGGTTTCAACATCGAAGCACGCGTGCAGTAAATACACGAGGGGAAAACCAATAAAGCAGTGAATGCTGTTTGATCTAATAGCTTATTCAAGGGCATGCATTATATCTTTTGACGGAGGTAAGCGTCGCGGAAGTTTTTGAAGGATTTCACACCCAATCAAAGAGAAATCTCTTCAGCGTGACATTCAAATGCTTACTTGCGTTTTCTTTTCCTCTTCGGTCAACGAGGACATAATGAATTGTTTAATAGTGCGTCGCGTCGTTGGTGATGACGATACCAACGATGATGATGGTGGTGATGACGATGATGATGACGATGCGAATTGAATCGTGTTATTTTTACTATGTTACTATTTTGGATGAATTATGTGGATGAAACAAAACATGAACATGTTTTAATTTCTCATATCATCGCGGGTTAAGTTTTATTCCGAATTTTGTTTAGATTTTATACTGTACATATGTGTGCATGTGTATGTCCTTAATTATTCTCTATCAATGCGTTCTATTGTATGCACAATTACTTATTACCAATTTCCATATGAAGCATCTTATTGTTTTCTACAATGATAATTAAAAATTCTCTTTATTTATGTATTTGCACAAAACTATCGAGAAATGTGGAGAAACAGATTATTTACATTCTATAATTTTTATCTTATTTACCGTACAACTAAAGTCCGTTCAATTTAAGAGTAACCTCGCTCTCGGACCGATTTTCGTCCGTTCTGCGCATGGACAGAGAGCGTAGCAGAGGGTAAGGCGGAGAAAAACGTAGGCGGTTAAGTGGGGGGTTGTGGACGTTCTAGCTCTGCCTTAGAGACACGCCCCATGCGCGAAACGAGGTTACTCTTAAATTGAACGGACTGTAGGAAATTTTAATCTACGAACGTACGTATTCTATAAACGTACACACACTCTTATGATCTTCACTCCATTATTTATATCTTGTTTGTATAATCAGCAAAGAGAGATATGCAAGTTTGATCAAAGAGAACATCTTACTGCAGAATTTCACGAAGTTCCGCTACACTTCGCGTTTCACGTGCCAGACAATTCAACAGTCACTGTTTTCGTCCAGAAAAAGCGAGACAACACAACATATAAATACATTTACTTATTAATGGTTGTTACGTACACTGGGAGTAAATCACAAGTGTGGACGGTTGAATACGTAACACATCGCGCGAAATGAGCTCAATGCAAGCACGATGAGGCCTTTCAGAGAGCATAGATTTTTGCTGACCTGCGCAACTGAATCTCGTTTCATTAGTCCCCTCGGCAATAAACAATTTCATTTGATGTCAGGAGTGCTGGCCAATAAGCGTGCGACAAGTACATAAACAACATATTTTCGTGTCACTTCGTTCGCGAATAATGGAACATGTTACGAAAGCAATATTTATGGGAGAAGCGTTTTAAGGTAAATATGCAAATATGTCTCGTTTTCGTTTCTATAAATAGGAGGAGCTTCGTTCGTCCAAAAGTGACGGTATTAACAGAAATGTTTAAGAAAGCGAAATTAAGGAAGCGATTCAACCTGTTAAATGAAGAAGATTAGTTAATCTGTTGTTTGAACGATCGATATTTAGAATACAATAATTTATTTATTCAAAAAGTTCTCATATTTAATTGAGTACACGTTTATTTACTGTTTATAATTGACTAATGTATTTATATCTATTTGGATTCACCACGAGTCGATTTAAGCATAATACACAACTGCTCTGTATAATTTTTCTTTTCGTGTGTATTGTTCGTAGCGTTTTCACTGAACAAAATATACATACTTTCAATTTCTTAACTCGTTTAATGCTTTTATAATCAGTTTTTTCGTCTTTTTCTTAAAGGGCAATTTTGTTATTTTCTTTACCATGTCACTAATAACTTATATCAATAACAACTGAATACAAACTACGTATTTTATTCGTTATAATTGCTACATATGCAAATGTTCGAACATTTTCGCAGTACATTAAAATAATTTATAAAAAAAAATACTTATTTCTTCAGAACAAAACTTATAATACTGGTAACAATTTTCGAAAATTTGTATCGGCGAAACAAATTATATTCATTAAAAAGCCAAGTTAGTTCATACAAGTACGCAATATTAAGTGATGCAGGTAATGAAAAAGGACATTTTTGTTTCGATTTTTGTATCAGTTGCTGAGAAGGGATTTATTGAAATTGTTTTGCTAGAAAAAACAATTTTTCACTATTTTCAAATGTTGTCGAATATATGAGAAACGAGGCGTAAGTAGAATACATTTTACCGATATTCGATTAATCGGGAAAAAAGATTGAAGGAAGAAAATCTTACCAGAAGGCCAGCCAAAAGGACCAGACAAACGAAGGCGATCGATGAGACCACGACGACTGCTATCGCGTTTCCAGAGTCCGGAATTGTTTCCTGTACCAGAAGAAATCTGTGTATCTGAAAAGAGTGGTTCAGTCGGCGGAATACGTTAACTAAATTACAACACTCCCAACTTCTATTTGGTCGTGAAAAAATTTTGCTCAGTCCAACTGGCAAGGCAAATACCAATTTTTACATTTCACACGTGTAAATGAAATTAGGAAATTTAAACTCGTGAAGCTGCTACTTCAAACCAGGATCACAAAAGCTTTCGCGTTAGTTACAGTTATGTACGTTTTTATAACGACGACGTAAGTTTATGTAAAAACAAAATTTAAAACTTGTATCATAAGTTTCAGTTTTAAATTTAATATTTTCAAATGAAATATAGTTGTTACAATTTTATTCGTAGAATGCTATACTTATCGTAACACAATGTGAACAATTTCTTCTGTAAAATTGTACGTTATATTAAACATGAAAAATTATTTAGTAATACCTGATTAAATTTACAACTTTACGAGTGTATTATTACACGATTGAAAAATATGTATAGAATTCGTATAATTTCGAACTGTATATGCATATATCGATTTACAAGAATTTACGAACCAAATGGAAGAAAGACGAACACAAGCGAAAGGAAAAACAAAAAGAAGATCAAAGGAAGTATTGACAAATGTTGAAAAATTTCTTGAATCAGATTGAAGATCAGTATCATTCATAGTTCCCTGTTATTACGATTAACTTACTGTAACTGGAAAGTTCACGCGATCACGCAGATCCTCGTACAAACTGGGCAAAAATTTAGTCATGGTGCTGTCGAACTTTCCGTTTTCGTCGACAACGTAAACCAGTATCGACGGTAGCGTCACGTCTGATGGCGATGGAGTAGACCTTAAAGATTCCTTGCATGGATCTTGTTGGAGCATAATTTGCGTAACAGAAACCGTCCTGAAACCGAAGGCACACCGACATATCACTATCTGCGAAGTATAGGGCAATTTCGGGAGAGATGGACCAGGCAAGTATTTCCTACGTTATCCGCCATATGTGGAACGCGTCAGTGTTCTTTTGTTTCACATTTGTTTTACAGAAAGCGATCGAGCGTGGCTCTGTTTTTTCTTCCATATCTGGCGGATAATGTAGGAAATACTTGGCTGGTCCGTCTCTCCCGAAATTACCCTATTCCTGGGATGCTGTTACAATCTCGTTGTCTCGCAACGAAACCTCATTTAAATCGTTAGTCACATTTGGCCGTCAGATCCAGGTCCTGAACGCTCATCGGCCCGCCGTAAACCCTCTTTGAAGATTCACGGTTACAATTCTTTTTTACTTCGCACTCGATAACAAGGACGTAAGAAACTTTTCCATAAGGTACCGTGTTCTTGGGGACCGACAATGTTACAGGAATGTTGGGTTGTGACAGGTATTTCACCAAAAGTTCATAACAATAACGAAAAACTGAACAATATCTCTGTGACTCTAACTTTATAACTTTCGCTCTCTGATACACTTTCAATGATTCTCTCAAGACACTTGCTCTCTAACTCCCTCCTGTGCGCCTCATTCACCCTGTTTTATGCTTTCACTCGTTCATTCTCTATTTCTTTCATTCCTTGTGCCTAGAACGGTGGACATTCGTAAAACGGATTCATTCATGTCCACTAAAATCTAGGGTGGTCACGCATCCCCCATTCACACGATTTTCTCAAGTACTCTGTCCCGAACACTTTTCATTCGCACTTGTATCGCTCCAGCTCAAGTATTCTTCGTTCACGGCTAAAATTCGCACGTCTTTCACTTGGCTACAAATACTCTCTCAAATATTTATAACCCTAATATAATTCAAGCATTCCTACAATGTTAATAACAAATTCGATTCCCTAGGCAGAACCTCGTTAGAACGCACCCATCAATGTGATATTGACACATACGTCACCCTTTTCACTTACACACAGTGAACAGCCAGTAGGAAACTGTCATTTACAAAAGTACCAACACAACCCCGAGAGGATAAGTCAAATAAGCTCGCCTGAGAGTAGAGTAATTAACAAGTAATATCAAAGTCATACACTAAGACTCACTCGAGAGTCGAGACAAAGGCACATTCAGTCAGTACAAGACTCAACCGAGAGTCAACGGAGTTCAATTCAGACTCGACCGAGATTGATTAATCAAGTCGTTCACAATAGCCAGTGTCTCACGATACAGTCGCGACTTCAGTGTGAACAGGATTTACGACCCCGTGAAATGCTAACTAAAAAATTGCGATGTGCGGGTTGCAACAGATGCCAAGAGGAATTTACACGTATATTAACCTCGAAATAACATAAAAAATTTCTAGCTACGTGTCACTGGTTGTTCCGATTATGAGATTTACACATATTCGTAATACCGTGTGAATAAAATTGTTCCGTATCAAGATCGTTGTAATTATAATTGAAGATAAACCTTTTTCAAACGTTTTCAGACATTATCTATGAAATTTAGAAAATTCCAGCGTAATGTCAAAATATGAATTTTAGTTTCCTTCAAATCATGAATCTAATTTGAGAATAGGAGAATAAGTGTATGTACTGTTCGTTCAAAATAAGAATAACCTCGCTCTCGGACCGATTCTCGTCCGTTCTGCGCATAGACAGAGAGCGTAGCAGAGGGTAAGACGAAGGAGAACATAGACGGTTAAGTGGGGGTTCGGACGTTCTAGCCCTGCCTTAGGCACGCCCCATGCGCGAAACGAGGTTATTCTTATTTTGAACGAAGAGTAGATAATACGTAATAAATTCAAGCTTATCTGTACCAAAAATTTGTGTGTACCAAATTATTATACGACTTCAAATACAAATTTCAGAATATCTAATAAAACACTATACGGGGTGGGGCAAAAACTTTGTCCACTTGGAATATTTCCGTTATTTGTAAAAATATGAAAAAATTTTATATACAAAACATGCATGATATATGGAGGGGGATATAATCAGATGTAAATACTTTTTATGTGGGTAGAGGCGTAGAGGAGATTTCTAGGTCATCTCTATTCTTTTAAATGGGTCGCTATATTTTCTTTATCGCTGTGCGGTAGCCGCTGTAAAGCTAGTCCAAGATTAAACGTGGTGGTAAAATAAATTTTGTTACATTACAGAAGATGTTCAAGGTATTGACCATTTGTGTAGATACAAAGTTGCACATTTTGTATCGCTGAATCACGTGCACGTTTTATCGCCTCTGAACTTATTCCAGCACATGTTGCTGTAATCCGTTGCCTCAAATTTTCTGATATACTCGGTACTTTTTGATAGACAACATTTTTTACTGCTCCACAGAGAAAAAAATCTAGGTTAAATCAGGAGAACGAGCTAGCCACGAAATTGATCCTCCACATCCTATTTATCAATTTGGGTAAAGTTCATTGAGTGCCTCTTTTACTCTCTGAGCAGTGTTGTAACCACATTATTTGGCAACCATTTAGCGATACATTTTCTAACAAAGTCCCAAATGTATTTCTTATAAAATATACACACTTTTCGCGAGTAAGAGTCCCATCGATAATATGCCATCCAATTATTTGGTCACGAACGATTTCACACATTAGCTACCCATTGTCGTCGATGCTTAACTTGTAACCAGCGTGGATTTTCGACATCCCATATTATGCAGATTAAGATTTCCATGGATAGTAAATGTAACTTCATCGCTAAACAATATTGAACTAAAAAATATTCCATTCATTTGTATTTCATGTTGGGCCCATTGATAAAATGCGACACAATTCATAAAATCCGTAGGGAGTAAATCTCAGTGGAGACTAATATGGTACGGATGAAATTTATACTGTGCGAGGATTCGTAACACGTCCCTCCTACTGATAGCAGACACGCGTTCAATTTGCCGGGAACTAATCTGTGGGTTACATGCTACTATTGCAAGAATACCAATTTCCTTTGTTTCGTCGGTTGTCCACTTTCGATGATTAGACTTACGTGTTGCCAAACTTCCGGTCTCTCTTAATTTTTTACACAATCTCTCAGCTGTTCGGTGCGAAGGACGTGTACGATTCAGATACCGTTCAGCACTAGGTTAGTTTAGGCTCTTATTGAGTTTTGGTGAGTTTCCCCATAAATGAGAATTATAGCCACATGTTCTTCGAAAGAAAACTTCATCTTGATTATCACGGTGATATTTGACACAGCAGTCAATTGATACCGACTACCGATATTCCATGCAATGTCGTAAATTACCACAACGTTTAGTTTCGTAGCTGTACGTAATGCGTAAACAACGCGGCAAGACTATCTGTTTACATAAAAGTAAGAGTCAATGAATTATAGCATTTGCTAGAATAAATCCAGCAATGATAAGACGTATTCGCGGTTCCACAATTCGAAAGCAACAATAATTGCTTTACGATCATCGGTGACCTTGAATGACCTTTAATGATAGCATGTTGAAACTGCCACAATAGCGGCTATCACAAGCGGCTCCTTTAAAAATGTAGAGATGACTTGAAACCTCCTCTAGACCCTCGCCCACGTTAACAGTATTCACATTACATTATGCCCCCCTCTACATCATGCAAGTTTTGTATACAACATTTTTTCCATATTATTACAAATAACGGAAATATTTCAACTGGACAAAGGCTTTGCCCCACCTTGTATATATTCAAAAGATGAGAACACTTTTTCAGTAGAGTGCAAAGTGTAATACTTATTAAATTAACATAATACCATCGGTCGGTATTGGATCGCTATTCCTAGTTTTAGTTTCATATTGTCAAACACAACATTTTGGAAATTTAAAAAGATTGCTTCTCTTGGATCAGTTTTCAAGGAAATCCGTTCAAAAATAGCATACCTATACCAAGTTAGAAATTATAGCAGGTAACTCACTTGTTCATCCCAGATGTTAAAATATCTGCAAGAGTCTGCTTCAGTTTGTCCATTTGTAGGCATACATCGTTCCAGCTACCTTCCATGTCAATACGTACTAGAGGTGTAATCTCCTCCTGTGCCGGTGATACCTTGTTATCAGTCTTTTTCGTCAGCACGTCAGAAGCAGTTGGAGTGCTCGTGCTACTCGAAATCGGGAGCTTTGGTCGCAAACTGCTTGGAACAACGATGCTGGAAGTAGTGACTGGTGCGGCATCTGTTGCGTTCGGGTTCAATATCGACGTGAATTCCGCAGACGATTCAGTAACGTTTAATATGAAGTGGGAATCTTTGGAATACGACGAATGCGTCTGTTCCGTTCGGCTCGTCGTTGTTGTACCTTCTGCCTCGCTTGTAGTAGTCCAATAATTCGATACGTTCGCCATCCTTCTAATTTCGTCATCTATAGTTGAAATTTGCTCCGTCTCGATAACGTTCGGTTCACTCGTAAATTCGTCGTCGTTGAACTGCGTCGTCGGGCTCGGAATCGACGTAGGAACGACCGTCTGATCGGTCACTGGAATACTCGCTACTTTGCCATCGACGTTTATCACTTCCGTTTCATCGGTCGTCGACGAATTATCCGTTGCCACCTCGCTGCTTATTGTGGTGATCTCGTATGATGCGTTTTTCGTTGACAAACTATCAGTTGTTGGTAGTTCAGAAGGTGGTTCCGTAGAGTTGCGACCTGTTTCAAGTAGAACGGCCGATTCGGAAAGGCCAATGAACTCGTACTCGATACCGGTTGTGGTAGGCACGAAACTTTCATCCGGACTGGAAGTAGCACCCATACCGCCAACAATTTCACTGGTTCCGTTTCTATCAGAGCCTCCGGGAAATTCGGACACGTTCTCTACAGAAGTTTCCTCGACGATGGTGGTAATGGTGGTGGGTAACGCGGTGGCGGTTTCGGTCAGTTTCGCGGTGGTAGTGCCTAAGGAAGAAGCGAGCAGGGCCGTAGACTTGTCCCTGTCGGAAAAATTCTCTTTGATCAATGGGTACTCCGTGGAACGTTCTGTGGCGTTCAGAGTGGAACGAATCAACAGAGAACCTTCGGCGTTCGTTTGCACGTCGACGTTCGAAAGTACTCCGTGGTCCGTCCGTGGCTCTATGGACTCTGTTGTCAAAGAAGTAGGCGTTGTCGAATACGCAGTGTCATGGAAAGAAGCCGCGTAAGTCTGTTTATCGTCGGTTTCCGGCTTCAAACTGACTTCCGTTATTCCGTTTCCAGTAACATCGAAGTTCCCTTTTCCAGTAATTGCCTTGCGGTTTTCGCTCCATCGGGAGACGTCATTTCCTGCGTTTGTCGACTTTTCCTCGGTGGAACTCGGACCAATAATCTCCTTTGCAGCGCTCGATTCTGTCCAATTTGTCGATCCGGATTTCTCCTGTATTAGCAAGGACGCGGTTGTCATTGGAACAGGCAGACGAACTTCCGTGCTTGAAACAGTGGATGATTCGTTGCTTACTTTCTCGTAATAAGCCGGTTTGAACTGCTGAATGCTATTTTCTAATACATCCGACGCCTCTGTGACGATAAACTTTTCCTCCGATTGCCCCTTACCGATTGTGTTTTCCAACGCAGAGGCGTCTTCCGTAGTAAACTCGACTTGGTTACTGGTATTACCAAGTTCCTCTTTGACACTAGATTTCACGTAAGGATAGGGTTTCTGCTCTGCGAGTTTGTCGGTGAGGTTCTTCTGCGAGAATGAAACTTCGAGTTTAGAGGCTGTCGTGGGTTTCGTTTCCAAGTTCAGAAATTCGTTCACTCCCGAGAAAGCGATAGTTCTTCCTCTCGGGAAGGGGCTCGAGGACACTCGAACCGTTCTTTCAGTCGTAACCTGTAGAATTGCTTCTTGTTTATTCTCCTCGCTTGTTCTTCCCTGCTGTTCGATCGCATCGATAATTTCACTAGCCTTCGTGGAATTGCGAAGCAAGACCTCGTTCTCGTTCTTCGATTTTTCACCGTCTTCTTTCACAAGCTGCGCGCCCTTCAGCGTCGAATTTTCAGATTGTTTCTCGATGATTCGCTGAATCGAGGGATGAGTCACTTTCCCGACAACCTCCACCTCCTCTTTGGGATCCCGTGACTCGTGACTACTCACCGCGCTCTCGTTGAAAGTAACGTCGGTGGTGCTCTCGATGGTTCTTGACTGATTTACCGAGCTAGCCCCGAGGTCCCTCTCCGTCGAGGTTTTGTAACGGTGACTGTAATTTACGTACGTGTCGTTGATTAACGAGATAGACCTGTCGTTCCCCTTATTCTCATCCGCTTCTTTCAAGTACGGGACTTCAGAGTTCTTCGTGGAATTAAAATTTTCCATTTTTCCCCTCTTCTCCTCGAACTCTTCTGGAACTTTCTGCGCTGTTGAATCGTTCTTAGCGTTGCTCGTTTCCAATTTCAAGCTAGCGTTCGGGTTCCCTTTATCGGAGGAAACTTCGACTTCTGGCTTTACATCGGACCCGCGTTTCTCTTTCAGTTCCACGCTATCCTCCAACGATTTTGCGGTTTTGTCCGATTCCAGTCTCGCGGTATCCTCCATTCGTTGAACATGAATCGTTTTATTCTTCTTTTCGTCGAACTTTGACTCTTCTAACGCTGGCTTCGTGGTTGCTGTGGTCAAACCATTCGTTCTGGACAGTCTGTAAAAATCCTCGGACATTGTTTTCGTGCTGGAACTCTTTCCAGACGTACCGTAAGCGATCTCTTCCAGCTTAGATCCTCCGTTGGCCGAATCAGCGGTCGATAACCTGTCAGCTTGCTCCTGCGACCTGATTTCTTGCGGTTCGGTTTCCTCGTCGATTGGCATCGCCACTTTCTCCTTGTCCTCTTCTTTGGCATCTTCGATAAGCTCATCGTGTAGCGCTGCTGTTTCGAAACCTCTTTTACTCAAGTTGTACGAACCGACGTTTTCGGTTTTCCTCTCCGTCGAACTGAATTCCGCCTCGTCTCTCGGCAGTACTTTATTTAGTACAGTTTTGTTCTTCTCAGATACTGACTTCTCGAATACCGCGCTTGTTGCCGAGTCCTTTGTCGCATCTGCGATGACATTACTGAAGAGTAGCAGGAAGACTGAAACATAGTTGGTATTGTAAAATTAGTTTCGAAATTGTTGCTGTTTATAAGGTTTACAATGTATAAACAGTTCCAAGCAGTACCGATACTTCACTCGTTGCGTATATCGTAACTTTAAAATGTTTGAGTATACCTAGAACCTACGCTGTCAATCGTGTAAATATATAATTGCAAATACATTTGAATCTTTCCCTTTTTAATCATTACGCATATCTGTACTTCTATATTTTCTTAACAACGAGAACAATTCTACAGGGTGTCTGTTTTATCTCAATACAGCGAAATATCTTTTAAGGAAGTGATGTTAGGGAAAAAATGTTGTTTGGTATGGAGAGGGACGTTATGTGAAGTAAATATTTTTTTTGTACCTGGTATGGTGGGAGAGATTTCAAAGTCAGTTTAATTCTTTTAAATGGAATGCTATATTTTTTTATACATAATATGACAGTGTCCAACGAGATGCGAACAAAGTCATTTCCTTCGATAAAACAAACACACGCGACAGTGAGGAACGTGTGGTGGTCCGGCTCCCGGTTTTTCGCAATTTTACGACCTTCCATGAAAGGAAATGATTTTGTTCGCACGAAAACCTTTTTTTCGTAACATCACTTCCTTAAAAGATATTTCGCTGTATTGAGATAAAACAGACACCCTGTATAGATTATAAGTTATATCGTGCATGTGCTAGTGAAACACACTAACAAGCGAACTTCTATTTCCCGAAAATTTTGATTTTTTTTTTAAACTCGTAGGTTTCTAGGAAAACACAATAGAAGTGAGGTGGGTGAGGAACGTCGTTGCCCTGTTTTCACCTCAATTTACTAAAGTATAAGTGTATGGTCGTATAGGCGTACAATTGGTCCAGAAAATACAATCGTTTATTTTGTTACTTGTCCCGGCGGCAGCGGTTCGGCGGGTACGTCGCGATGGTCGGTAAAGGAAAAACTGTCCGGAGGTGTAGGTGTACTGGGTTTTTATATTGTTAGGACAGGGAGACAGGAGTGGCGATAGATAAAGATAGAAGTGGAGAAAGTGGTGGAAACGGAAAATTCGTTCGTCCTCATGCGAACCTGGATGCCACATGTGCGCTTCTTAGGCCACTCGAGGACGAAGGCAAGTCTTAACCCGGGGAGAGACAAAAGAACGGAAACTAAAATCTGAAGGAGTTGGAAAAGGGAAAGTTCGCGTGGAAAAATAGAACGGTAAGGGTTTGTTGACGACGACGAACCCGCCACAGAAGCATCGGGCAATTTTTCCTGTTCTCCAGGGTGAAAATACCCCGTGCACGTTCTATAGGGGGAATTCCCCTAGCAGACGCTTAAGGTTTTTCTCAAATAAATCTCTCTACCCGTGCACACGCGACTGAAACGCGTAGAAAACTTATTTTTATTCCTTTTGTCTCCTCTAGGAGATACGCAGAATAACGGCTCGGTAGCGTTTCAATTATTGGGTGCCGTCCGGCGTTAACCCCTTAACACGTTAAACGCCCAGCCTGTTTTGCTTGCCTTTCCGTTCACGCCACACTCGACCGTCAAGTGGGCTATGCACGACGGGCGAACTATAAACGGAAGACGACTTAAAAATCCTTAACCTTTTAGGTACGGCGCTCGTCCGCAAGTAGGTACCCCTGGGACGGCGCGCCTGGCCGCGGATGGCACAAAAACCGTTCATGACGATTCTCTGACACGTGTACTCTTCAACGACAGCTTCGATATTGCCAGGAAATGTGATTTAGGCGAAACAAATGCGAAATAAAGCAAAAAACGTATAATACCGTCCAAAATCATGATATCCACGAAAGTCACTATTGTGGCGTACCGTCCAAATTGGTGCTATCCACGAGAGCCACTATAGTGGCGTTCCGTAAAAATAGAGGGTCTCGTGGCGTACCGTATCTAAAAGGTTAAAAAACTACTTTTTAACTTTTGTTAAAATATAATATTCCTGTTCTGAAAGCTTTGATTGAACAAAAATCGATGTCGCCTAAACAAAATGTTTTGTCTCACAATCAGAACGCAAGGACCGACGCGCGCGGCAGTGTAGCATGAACCAAAAATCGGCGGCCGGTCCCTGGGGGCCGGCTGGGCGTGAACGGAAAGTCTACGGGCGGTCCCTAGGGACCGGCGTGGCGTTTAACATGTTAACCTATGATTTCTTTTCTAACTATGCATATAAGCGTCAGCCGTTTAATGTTTTAGTACTGTGTCAGGTAACAGAAGCTGATCTGTTACAGATTAAATACGAAAGTTAGGATTGCAATTAATTTTTCTTAGTAATGTAACTACTTTTGTCACATCTTGACGAGAATCTCTGCCACGAGTCTGACGCGTTGTTGTAGGTTAAAGGGTTAAGGGAACCCCTACCCTTTATACATGTGCATATACCTCAAAATTTCAACAATCCTTCGATTCATTTGGCAAACATTTTCTAAATACTCTTGTATTTCCAATTACAGCCGCGACATCTCATATTTACGTCGTATCAAAATAATCTATAAGCTTGCATCGACATAATTAATTCTTTAATCTGTAATGTATGGATATCTATCACTTAATACAATATTTTCCACTTCTGTTAACATACGATCGTAGATCCCCGTATCACACGACACGTTGGACTTTTTAATCAAACGTCTCACTGCGCACAAACTTCTCTGCTCATCAAACAACCATTCAATTACCTGCAGTTATATTTTATTCCGAAACACGCGACAGGAGACTCGTTTTTCGATCGTCCAGCCGTGGCCGGTATCGGCAAGATCGGCGTATCAACGGCGAACACGTGTGATCATCAACTGGAGGAGAGTGGATGCAAACAACGCATACTGGTTTTCATAGCGAGACCAAATAAAAATGATCCGAGCGTAGATGAAGCTTTTAATGGTCTTAAAAACCGGTTGGTCAGGTCAATTACTCAGTCTGCTTGGAGAAGCTGCGAGCTCGATTCGTGATATAGTTTGCCACGTACCCTGCGCTGCGGAGGACATCAAAATGCGTATGTTCGTCTTCCTCTGAATGTTAAACAGGCCTCGGTATTACGTGGAACATTCAGATACGCGTGTTTTGCCTGTACAGATAAATTGTGCGAAAAAAATCCATCGGTGGTTTGAGCGTTGTTTTAAGGAAGGCGATTTACTTCGTGACAGAGTTCCAATGGTCACGATCGATTTAAATACGAATAACACTTAGAAGAAGAGAAAAACGTTCGAATGCAGGAAAACCCATTCGATTGTGCAAGTGGAATATTGTCTTTCTATTCTTCTCTTTGTTGAAGCAACGCGCATTATATATGCGTATACTTTTAGAGACTGTGGACACAGGTTTGCAAACATGTTTGCGTACAGTTTTGCTTTTGAAGAAAACCGTTTTACGATATTGGTGAATTTTGTAGTAGATTTTTTTGCAGGGTTCAAAAGTGATTAGTTTATTTTACTTATTGGTATGTTTGTTTCATTTATCTTTAATATCGTCCAAGGAAGTCGAGTTATTGATCAAATGTTTAATTAACTTGCGATTAGGAGTACGTGCAAATTTGGGAGAAGTTTAACGTAAACGAAGCAGATATTTATTTTTCGTTATTCGAATATACGTACTGTTATATAATGCAAAGTATAATAAAACAGGATGTCTTTTATTCACTGCACATATGAATTTTTATGAGCTACGTATTGTCAACAACACAACGGTAATAATGCAAATGATAATCTTCATACTTATTCTGATGCTAATTAATTGATATAATGATATTCATACGTATTATATAATACAATCCTTTATAGCATACGTTCGTTTCTTATAGATACCGTACAATGCTGGCGTGATCAAGAAAATCTGAAATGTCCGGAAGTTAATTTTTCTTATATTTATATCAAATATCTAATGTAAATAAATTTTAATGTAACCTTACGGTTGTGCAATTATACTGACTTCCACGTGTTATTGTTAAACGTTACTTATAAATTTTAATATATGTATTCGGTGACTCTTACTAATATTCGGACACTCTTTGGAACAGTATAACTTTTTTAAAATTGGACTTAACGAATTGAGTTTTTTCGAGACTAGGATTAGTATACTAGATGACTAGAAAAAATTGCAATTTGTGGAAATCGCGAAGAAAATTGTAAAGGTCACATTCGACAACTTTTTTATCCGAGCTCGTAATGAAAATTTAAAAAATTCGTTTTGTAGATTTGTGCCAATTATACGCATGCTGAAAGTTTTATCGAAATGACGCAGAAGAAAATAAAACCTTTTCTTACAAAGTAACTTCAATTTTGCACATTTTAACAGAAACGATCAAAAAACATGTTGCAATTAAA